AACTTTATTTATTTATATAACTTTATTTATTTATATAACTTTATTTATTTATATAACTTTATTTATTTATATAACTTTATTTATTTATATAACTTTATTTATTTATATAACTTTTTTATTAATTTAAATAACAAAATTATATATCTTTTTAATTAAAAATTAATAATGATTAACTTATTTCACTAGTTTTTAATTATTTTTAAAGAAAATTAAGTTAAATTAAGTTATAAAGTGGCGATATTCGCGATATAATTATTATAAATAATTCTTTAAAAGTTTATTTATTATGTTAAGTAAAAATAAAAAGTAATTTTTAAGCCGCGAACGGCGTATATTATTTATTAATATAAAAATCGTTATTATTCGATTAAATAATCGATATTTATAAGATTTCTTTAAATTTAAGCTTTTTTATTTCGAAGTTTTTCGAAAATAAAAAATTCTTTAATAATTAAAGCTTTGTTTTTTGGCATTTCGACTAAAAAAATTAACTTGTTTAATTAACGAGGTAATTATTAAAAGCTTAAAAAGTAAACCAAGTTAAAGTTAATTAACTTAAAAAAACTATTAATAATAATAGTTTTTTATTTAACGTTAATAAAAAGTAAAATAGTTATATAAAAAGCTTTTTCTTATAAGAATACGTAACTTTAATTAAATAAAGAAAAACATATTTTATGTTACGAACTAACCAGGGTAAGCAATTAAATGACAGGGGTACTATTCCTACTGTTCTTGTTTCTACACCGGACATAGATCCTGGAAGGGAAAGCAACCTATTGTCACGTGATATGGATATGTGTAGATAGAACACATCTAGCAACATCCAGTGGAGAATGGATAAGTGTGAATAAGACTCATCTAAAGGTATTTAACATACTAATTATAAGGAATAAAAGGTAGAATAAACAAGTATAAAAGGAACGGTGTCTCTCATATGTCTAGTTATTCATTTTAGTTTTTTAACTATTAATTTAAGATTATAGTCACTCCTTAATACTATAATGAGAGTACCTTAAAATCTCTTTAACGAATAAGAAATTATAAATCACTTAAACCAATCTTAACCCATTATTACCTTCAAATTAAGAAAACCTAGTACGTACTTACCTATGAAGTTAACTAACTAGGAACATATAAGAAGGTTCGTCACATTTTAAAGTAATTATAAAATTTTATTTTTAAAATGTATTTAATTTAATTTTCGTAATTTTATATAAAAACTAATATTTTAAAAGTATATTTCTTAAGTATAAATTAGTATAATTTTTTATAAAATAATAAATTTTATAAATAATAAGTAAATCTTTAAAAAGAGTATAAGCTTAATTTAAAAAATAAAAGAATTATAATATTAAAAAGTAATGCTTTATATATTTTAAAAATTAAAATAATTATTTTAAAATAACTTAAAAAATAAACTTTTTTATATAGTTTTTAGTTTTTATATAAATAAAAAGTAACGCCAATTATTAAGGTTTTAATTATTATTTTTTATTTATATTTATAATTATTAGTAATATCGCTATTCGCGGTTATTAATATTTATATTCTTAGTTTAATATGCCTTTCTTGTCGTTATATACTTTAACCTGTATATCGGTAGCTTCTTTTAACCAACGGATATAAGTGGGCCCTATGTGTCCACTCCATAACAAAAATGGCTTAACACCAAAAGATCTCATCGATCGCAAGATCGTTAATCCTGCCCGGTTAGCTCAATCGGTAGAGCGTGAGACTCTTAATCTCAAGGTTGCGGGTAAGTTGTTATACTAAACAAGCATTTAATAAGAGCAATTATCCTAACCCATTAATCAAAAGGTTCGACCCCCGCATCGGGCTCAATTCCTGATGCTTCCCAGCCAAACTGGGATTGCAACCAATTTTTGTCTTTTCTTTCTCATCTGCTTAAGAAAACGTTTCCCCCTGGGCTGGTTTCTTTTCTCCTATTCTTCCTTTCTTATCTTGAAGGGCTACTACGGATAATGTATTTTTTAATAATTGCTCTTGAAAGTGAAGACATGGTGTGAGTATAATGGGAAGGTATCTGAACTCCTGATAATATAATATAGCCAGTAATTAACCCAAAGTATAAGAAAGGGGTATTATGTCCAATGCGAGTTTAGTCATGTGGCATTTGATCTTCGGCTAGACTAGCAAGCAGTCTTTCTCGATAGTATCTAACCCACATGACCCGATCTCCCAAGCCTAGACCCTTGTCGGCGAAGGTCTATCGAGTTTTGAGCTTCTGATATCTAATGACTTCTGCCCCAGTTTCATCGAAAGCTCTGGTTGCTACGATCTTATATCCACCAATAGCAGGCCATATCTTCGACCAACATAGCCAGTAGACGCCACCGAGGAGAAGAACACCCACGCCGACCACGGGAAACACATAGTACGGGTATCCTTCGGAGTTCCAGTCTCCATTCGGGGGAATAAAGGGAACAGCGGCTAGAAAGATGTTGGCCAGCAGGTAGAGCACGGAGATGGGCAGGAAGGTATGCCATGGCGATGACCAGTTCTCGGACTTCTTCCATTGCAGGTAGATCAAACCAGCAGTGACGAACCCGTTGATCCATGATCCTGGATATGTGTAAAGGTTGACGAGGAAGTTGTACGCAGGCCCAGCCGGGGGAGCTATCAGAACGATAACAGTGACGATCCAGTGTAGGAATAGCTATCCAGAATTAGAGCTTCGAGCATAATCAATTAATTTGCTTTGGAATAACTTACCGCAGCAGCTGGTGTGTTGAATGGCTTGTTAGAGCCCCAGAAGCGGCTGAATGGCAGCAATGCCTCCTTTCCGAACTCCTGGTTGAGACGGGAGTGGGCGAAGCTCACCGCCAGGACATTGCCCAAATTACTGATCGCAACGAAGGCAGGCAGACTCCTCGCGGCCGCACTGTCACCGAACACATTGCGGAAGAACAAGCCCGCGACCAAAACTTCAGACGTAGCCAATTCATCCTTGGAGATGGCGGCAAAATAGGCGACATTGGCTAGTACGTACAAGATCGTGACGCCTCCGACTGCAATCGGCGCTGCAATCGACAGCGTCTTCTTCGGATTCTTCAGCTCCCCGATGACATAGTTGGCGTTCTCCCAGCCTTTATAACTATAGATGATATTAAGCAGGGCCGTTGCATATCCGTAAGCACCTTGGCCTCCATAATTCTCAGTTGTTTCGATGGCAAACGCATTGCGGAAGTTGCCCGGAGGCGGGACGAGAAGCCGTCCGTCGAGTGCAGCGAAGCCCGAGAAAACGATGAATAGGAGAATCACCACTTTGAATACCCCCAGCACGTTTACCAGTCGCAGCCCCCATTTGGGTAGTGTCGCGTGTAAGACGACGGAGAAGGTGATGCACGCGATGCCGATGCCACGAGCTTCCCAGCCGTCCCCCAAGGTACTTCCGGATGCAGCCAGTACATAACGACCAAAAGCTAGCGAATTGCCGGACGAGAAACCTAGGAGAATCATCTGCGACGCCAGGACACAAGTTGCCAGATAACGAGGGTGCCGGTAAACTCGCTCTAGGTAGTTCTTTTCACCACCGGACCGCGGGATTGCGAGACCAAATTCGAGGAACACACTCAGACCGCAAAACGTCAAGACGCCGCCGATGACCCATAATATGATGGATACGCCCACGGAGCCCGTAGCCGCAAAGATGGACGACGGCGTTGAGAATACTAGTCATCTCCCTCGTTAGCCAACTAGCCCCTAGCCAATGTTTATCATCGTGTCTTGAATATAACGTTCACTTACTTCCCGTTCCGATCATCTTATTCAGTATGAGAAATACGGCGCCAGTGACGCCGATCTTACGCGATTCTGAGTACGCATACTGCTCCACAGCTTGCGTCCGCGGGGCGTATTCATCATCTGATGATGCTGCTAACGCCCGCGCGTCAGCGGCTTCTGGATCTTTCTTTGCGGTGTCAGCCATGTTGCGACGGTTGAAAGAACGAATGCAGGACGCATCTAGCGAGAGAACATAGAGAGAAGATAGAGCGCGTGCAGAGCGAGAGCAGGGTAGATATTGAACTTCTCCCGCGCGCCGCGCGATTGAATAACAACCTGCCTATTTGAAAGGATTCGATGAGACAATGCAACCTTTCTCGACTGGATGAGAAAGGAAACCCACCCTTGTCGAGAGCCAATGACGCGATCGAGTTTTTGTTACGTAGGATTAGCATTTGCATGTTGTTCTGTGGCTGCTTGGCGACTGCACGCCATATCAGCAGAGCTTGACGCAAACGGGACGAGCCTATTCTATAAGCTCGGCATGAATCTTAGCTGAACATCGGTCGGCGCCAAGTTAGAGTTCACCGTTCCGAGATCACGGATCCGGCCCACACGATCTCGAGAGTTCTCGATCTAGCTCAGTCGAGCAGGAGCATAATAAATACGAACGCCGGACATATGTCCAAGGTATTGGCTAGGAGAGCCATACGCAATTCTAACGCAATGTCATATAAGCTTCGGGGGCGAACCTGGTTGGTCGAAGTTCGGGGTCACCATACGCTTCTGCGTATTGTCTCCCTATTAATATTATTCCTCTGAATCCTCCTCGCCAAGGTAGAGCTCACTCTTGGTTCTAATGCACACTGGTCACAGTGGTTCACTAGCATGGTTCGCCTTGCTCCGTGCTGAAAATTCTTTTTTTAAGAGAGCCTCCAGGTCCATTCACGTGCAAATAGCCCTATAATTTGTCACTATACCCGAAGTCTTCAGCTCCAATATCAGTCCAACCTTGTCGGCTCGCCGCGGCATATGATTGTGGCGTTGAGGACGCCAAGGTCTAGGCTAATTAGGTGATACGGCTTAGGTATACAACGTGACGTGACATATCGTACCGTCTGTCTTGAGGCTGTATTAGTTAAGATGTCTCATTCGGGTTGTCGGCCCCATGATGAAGAAGTATCCTACTCACTGTAGGACTTGGACCGTGCCCTTCCTCGAGACCTGGCCATCGCCGACTCCGACTTGGCGACTTTTGGAGGGTTCCACTTGGGGAATGTGAATCCATCAATAGGGAGGAGGATTTTATGTCGCAATTTCTGGTGGTAAATATCATCCCCAATGCCAGGTTTCTCCCTAAGGCAGTTTAACACTAGATCTAGGTAGTGCGGCTTGTGTTTTGTGCTCTTACCTACAAAGACAACATCTCTGCGACCTGAGTGAACATAGATCTCTCATCTCATTGAGTCCAGTGTTCCACCATCGGCGTTATGGCCCGGCTATCCTGACCCAATCGAGCGCCGAGGCAAATTGGCTATTGTGTTCAATCAAGTATATAATGCGATTGGGCTTACCTCCTTCGTTAAATTTCGATGCCAATATGGTGGCTAATCAACACACACCTCGACATCGATCAAATCAATATATTTCTCGTGCTCGCAACAGAATAGTCGTATTCGAAGGCCGACTCTGGATATTGTGTATGCAGGTATCGATGAAGATCTTGTGTTTCTGCCATGGTTACCTACGCCTTCCAGGAGGCCTGAAACCGAATCATGCCTCTTTTCGGGGCAAGACCGCTTAGCAGAAGGCTCTATAGCACTCCCTTCCTGCCCAAGCGCTCTCTTGCCTAAAATATGAGGTTTTCTAAGGCCGGAATTGATAGAAGTTAACCACTCATTGTATATCGTCCTTCCTAGCGCTTGTTGTGATAATATCTCCCCCTTACTAACATTGAACTTAGATCGAGATGCATGAGAACTTAGGGTTAGGATGAAGGTTTTAGTGGTGACAGTGGAACTTCTCATAGGAGAGTCATGAATCACCAGGGTTGTAGAGAGGTAATGTTCTATCGATTTTTGAATGTGGGTATTGACTAGATTTGATAGCTGCTGGGTAAACTTTGCTAGAGCCAAATTATCATGGCCAGGCCCGGCCTTCTCCTGGAACCAGGTGACGAACTGCCTCCCCTGCTCCTTGACCGTTGTCACCTCCTGAGAACGGAGCCAAGTAACTGATCGATGATGTTATGGCTATCGTCAAGGCGTGAACGCAAGCGGCGGCATACCTGGGCTAAGGCCCTCTCGCGGGGTTCGTCCTCAAAGTCTTGATCGATATTATCGAGCTTGGCCATTGTGAATTTATGGTCGTGTGGGAAGGAAAGTCTTGTTGACTTCGGGATGAATCTCGAGAGAAGAAGGGCAAGTATATGCCCGAAAGTCACATGAAATTTAATTTTTGAAGTAACGGAACTCATTCGATATGTGAGAGGTAGGTAAGTAGGCAGGTGTGCGTGCTGTTTTAGTTGCTGCGTTTGAGACGTTAGACACAGAAGTATGCGACCAGCCATATTTATGGAGCAAAGAATCTCGACCTCGAAATACCACTTATGTAATTATTGCTAGTCAAAAGGGTTATGCATCTTCCATTAGGCTCTAATGAACCCGACCGTATGCGATATACTATATACTACCTTTGTGTTGAGACCTATCGAACATACCCCTAGAGATAAGTCTTGCTGATATGATCTAAATACTATGTAAGGCTATATCAATATTGAACATAACTCTGACTCTGCAATAGCTAGGTTCTAACTTAATGCCATCTTCCTGGCAGTGATATGTGGATGGTTGTTATCGAGCTATGAAGTACATAAACAGGCTCGGTATTTTCAAAACAAACAGTTAATGAAGGCTGGAAAAGATAAAAGTGAGCATGGACTTGTAGAGAGTGACACTCCGGAGGGACGTAAACTATAATAGTTGCTAAATCTTAACAAGGGCCAATACCGCATAATCCCGATATTGGTATTGATATGTATCCAAATCCTGAGATCGTCATTTTGGCTGCTCATTGCGATAACTCTCCGATTAGTC